CATCTTAAATGTGGCCCACTTCAGAATTTTCTTTTGGGCCAGATTAGGCCCTAAAGCTTAGTTTTGCTTCAACAACTGGATTACCATAACTTTCTTCCACATTTTAATCTCATGTATTTTTAATTTGTTTTGTTTTTACTGTTTTGGAAAGTTTTATGTGATGTGAATCAGTTTTCTTAAAGCTGAATTTTAATTTCAAAATTTCCTTGGGACTTAAATTCGTAACAGTGTGTTAGCTCACATGCCATCCAAGTATAATGCTTTCAAGATTCCAGATGGTTTCTATCTGGATTGTGGATTTGAGCTGAGAGTTAAAAGATGCTCCCTGACTGGGAGTATAGTTGAGCGGTAGAGTGCTTGCCTAGCTTGCAGGAGGCCCTGCATTCCATCCCCAACACCACAGAAGAGTATTGCTCCCTGTTTGCTTCCTTCCAAACCATTTGCGGTCCTGATGAGCTCCAGTTACCCCTCCCTAGCAGCTGAATTAAGGTCTAGGAGCAGGGGAGAGCTCAGGACAGTAGCTCTAAATTTCTAAACTGAGGGCATCTAACGACAGCAAGAAACATTGGCTTGGCCACTCATTCCCTAATAGAGATGATTGATTCTCTAAGTTTCACCTGAATTTAGACCTGTTGATAAATAATGAGCAGATCCTGGTGGCCGTCTGATTCGCAAGGTGTGAGAAGTAGCTGGTGGATCTGCAGGAAAGATAGGTATTCTGTCTGCGTAAGCAGAGAAATGATGAATAATAAACATGAATTAGCACCATCTGGGTTGAAATTCCCCACCAGGGATGAATGTTTATTAAAAAATACATGATCATTGACAGTTTCCCCCACGCGTCTGTGTCTTCCTTTTAGAGAACAGCTTATGGAACTGGCGTCTCGTTTTTAGTCTCAATTGCTTTTGCCAAAACTCATCCACTAACTTCTGGGATGCATAGGTGCCACTGGTGGGCCATTTCTCTGATATAAGTCGAGGGTTTTCATCCTTGTTTTGCTTTAATTTGATAGTGACAGGGAAGGTGGGTCTCTGTGCAACCAATAATAGCTGGGAGATGAAGTGAACGATCAGCCTTCAAAATGAGCTTGACCCTGAGGGCCAAGAGTTTGCATTGCTGTGGTAGGAGAAAGCCTGAATCTGCTGAAAATTTCCAGTATTTGTAACTGATGTAAAATTTATGAATAGCTCTGTGGAAATTAGTCTTTATATTAACAGGTTCAAGTGAGCATCAAACCTTGGCTAACATTAGCTGTTGCTAGCTGCAAAGTCTCCGATTAGCTAGAAATGGCTCAAGTTAGACAAAATGTGGTATATCAGCATTTTGGTTTGACATGAATCAATTGATGATTGGTAATGGTTTATTTGTTCAACATAAATTTATGAACTTATTTGCCAAGCATGCATTTCAACAGATACTTCTTGAGAGCCTGTGGGGTCTAGTGGTCAGGGAGGGGAGACAACTGTGGATGAGGCAGACGCGTTCCCTGACCTCAGAGGGCTGGTGGTGGACTGAAGAGCAGGATTCAGCATCTGACTTTGGGAGTGTGCTGGACAAGGGGGTGTTGTAAGAGAGAACTGGTCCCTGCCTTCTGGGGTGCTCAACCTCATTGGGTCAACAGACACATCACACAAGTGTTCAAAAAAATATCGTAGGATGCAGCCCAGGGAAGCCAGGTGTGGGTGTGAACTGTGAGTGCTAATGACTGTCTTCTGCCCTCCACAGCATGGATAAGGACAGCCCAGATGTCCACCAGGACCTGAATGCCCTCAAAACCAAGTTCCAGGAGATGCGGAAGCTCATCAGCACCATGCCGGGCATCCACCTGAGCCCTGAGCAGCAGCAGCAGCAGCTGCACAGCCTCCGGGAGCAGGTCAGGACCAAGAACGAGCTCCTGCAGAAGTACAAGAGCCTCTGCATGTTCGAGATCCCCAAGGAGTAGAGGCCGCCAGTGTCCAGGACCCAGGGGAAGGCAGGGGAGGCAGCCGGCTTCCTTGCCCCCATTTCCTCTGGACTCCAGCTCTGAGCCCGGCCTCACCAGCCACAAGCTGTGCATACCCATGTGGCTAAGGCATGCCAACTTGAGCGTCTGCCACTGGGAGCCAGAGGATTCCTGAGGCGGGGGGAAGGGCTGCCCTGCACTGAGGAGGGGCCATCTGCTGTGTGTCTGGGTCCCTCCTGCAGATCTGAAGAGCACAGTAGGAAAGGAGGCGGCTCCTCCTTGCTTCCTGCCCTCCCGCTCCTCCCACCTCCGATACAATCAGCATGTACCAGGTACATATTGTTCCAGTTAGCAGCTGTTTGGTGAAACATTTGCATAGAATTCACTGGACAAATTAGGCCTGTACTCATATGGCATGGGTTTAATATGATTAAAGAAGACTGTGAGAGAATGAGCCTTGTTCTCAAAGGCCAGAGGGTGGGTGGCTTTCTCTCCCCTCTCCAAAACAGTTTGGTTCCTTTTATGTTTGAGCCAGTGAGCGGGGGTGTCCCCTCAGAGCCCCCCCACCCCAGGCTGCCCCTGACTCCAGGCTCCTTCTTCCTTTCCATTTGGCTCTTGCTGCCATGTCTTCTGTCCCCTTCAGTTAGTGGTGGAGAAGAGCCAGCTTTCCACAGCCACAGTGCCTCCTCGGGGATGGAGAGGGCCGACCCTTGGCTGGCAGGCTCAAATAGAGTTTTAGATCCCAGAGCAGATCTCCCTGTGATACCCTTTGCCCCAGCTCAAACCATTATTCCCCTCTGGGCTTCTCACCACAGACAGCCCTGTTGGCTGTCCTGCAAACAAAAGGGTTCACAGTGCACTTTTTGTTGAGAAGGGGGCTCTCAGTGGCAATTGGGATGTCCCCTCAGCCAGGTGTGACAAGGGAGTTCGGGATCGGTTCTGATGGGATGGGCGGGCTAGGTCTAGAAGTTACAAGGCCAAGTTCTAGTTCTTACATGTTTATAAACAGCCCTCACTCCCCCAGCGCCATGATTTTTTTTCTGATGGGACACTATGTGTGCTCTCCCCTGCTCTGCAGGGGGTATGACAGCAGTTCTTCCCCTGACTCTTAAGAGTGAGGTGAGAAGTAACTGAATATTGATTGCATCTAGAAATGGGCACATAATCTGCTGACCAGCTCAGGGGCTTAGCAGGTGCCCGTTGACTGGCCTCGTTGGCAGAAGTACTGGTTGGAGGTGTTTTTAGCAGGGGTTCTAGTGCTGTCGGCCTGCAGCCAGCTGTCAGAAGATGGCTGGCCTATTGGGAACCTGGGACTGTGCAGAGGAGGATATCAAGTTTCACAGACAGGCTTTGGCCAGAGAGTAGGCTCTGCGTTTTAGTGGGTGGCCACCTATTAGACCAGTTCTATCTTGGGACTGTTATTTAACTGAATCAGTTATTCTTAAAGTTTCAGAGTAGCAGGTGGGCCAATTTTAAGGCTCTGACCAAATACCTTGAAACATGAAGCAGTAAAAATACAAGACCTTCAGGGCCTTTCTGGAGTCTGAGATGGAGATGGTGTGGGGGGGGAATGAACTTCTCTGTTTTCTATGATTTGACTTGTGATATTTTTCCAATGTATGATTAAAAGTACTTATTGCTCTATTGCCGGGACACCCCGGTTTTTTGTGTTTGCTTTTGCAGTGCTGGGGGGGTCAAACCCAGGGGATCATGTTTTTTTATGCCCAGGAATTCATGGTGTATCTTGCATAGTTGAGAGGAAAGTATTCACTTTGCTGAGACAAAGAATAAAATGTGAATACCTTCTGCTCCTTGCCCCTCTCCTTGTAGTGCAGTTAAACAACATAAAAACAGTAATTGCTGGGCACAGTGGTACTTGCCTGTGATCCCAATTACTATGGAGGCTGAGAGACAGATGGCCATCCAGGGCAACTTCGTAAGACCTGTCTCAAGATAAATAAAAAAAGATCTGAGGATGTAGCTCAGTGGTAAGGTACCCTGGTTTCAATCTCCAGTACCAAAAAGAAGAAGAAGAAGAAGAACTCTTCCTCACAAGCAGCATCTGTCCCACAGGTGCATGGGCCTGTGTGAGCCACCTCTGGGCCATCCCTCCTCCCAGGGAGGTGGTAGGGGTGAGGGGTTGTTTGGTAACTTGGTAATTTGAGGAGGACTAGTACTGGCAGGGAGTGGCCCTCACCAGAGCAGGGCTGAAGTCCCTTCCCTAGGACAGTTTTGAGTCTCCTTCACAGGGAGCTGAGCACCCTCTAAGAAGCCACCAGTTGTGTGGGTTACTGGGTGGCAGGCACTGGTGCTACTTGTGTCACATTGAATCCCCACAGCTACTCCATGTGCAGGGCCTTCTCTGTATTTCTCAGGTGATGAATCTGAGCTTTAGCAGGTGTCACTTGCTTCAAGCTTACACAGAGCTGGGTCATGAGTTACAAGCAGATGGCCTTAACCACTGAGGGACACAGCAAGATGCAGAGGTCTGCTGGACCCCACCCAGGGCAGCAAGTGCCTTTGGAAGCTACAGGGGGAGCTGGAGGCGGTGGGGATCTTAACTATCTCTAGTCATGTAACCCTGGGGCAAGAGGACAAGGGTCCAGCACAAGCCTGCTCCCCATGGGTCTCTCTGGTTCCATTTTCTTATTTGTGACAGCCAGGCCCCAGTGTCAAACAGTCTGCATTTCAAGTTTGACCAGCTTCTGTAGCTTGGGTCTGCCCTGTGATGAGTGAGAAATCAGTTCTACAGAAGAGGAAATCAGAGTGTTCACTCAGAACACCAGGCCCAAGGTGACCGGGCCAAAGGAGAATAAGCAGGTAGATGGCTAGAAAGATTTTTTAGGGGGATCCCTGAAATCCTCGTCTGTCCTGATTTTCTAGAAGCCCCTTCAAATGGAAGTTTTTTTGGTTTCCTCCCCCATGAGGCTTGAAGCTGTTTCCAGAAGGGCAGGGTTATTTTCCTGTTCTGGAGAAGGTGATGTCCAAAGTCATGGCAGCCGAAACCCAGCCTCCTCCCTTCTCCCCCAACCCCTTCTAGAAGCAAAGAAAGCCGCGTTTTCCATGTTAAATTATTTTATTTTATATTAAAAAACAACAACAATAACTTTAGAGTTTCACACACACACACACAGTATAAACACCTGGATAGGATTTTGTTCATGTCCATGTTGACAGCGGAACTACTATTAAAGTGCAAGTTTTCTGTTTTGTTTTTCCTTTGTGCAACTTCACACACACACATGTAAACAAGTCTCTTGGCTATGACTTGACCCACGCACCCCCGACAGTTTTTTCTGGAGGACAGAGGCCTTTGCCAGCTGTTACAGCAATGGGGAATCACAGACAAGATAATGCCCCCAGGGTCCTGACCCTCAGGCTAAAGCCAGGCAGGACCGGTTACTTGATGCCCAACAGTGGCTGGTGAACTTCACCCCCTCCCTACTCTCTGGTCTCTGATTAAAAAAAAAGACAAATGCCCCCTCTGCTGGGCCACCATCCACGTTGTGAGGGTGGGAGACGCCAACAGAGAGGCTCAAAGGTGGGGGAGTCCAGGTCTTTGCCAGTTCTCCTTCCTTCCGGAGCAGATGACCGTCCCTTCTCTGTTTGGTGGCGCCTTCACAGTGCGCGAGGCCGGGTTTCGCGAAGGGAAGACACCAGTCCGCGTGCACTCGCGGCCCAGGGCGCGCCCAGGCTGGCCCAGGCGTCGAATTTGACTTACACAAAAAAAGTCCTCCTTGGATTGTGTCGCCGGCGCGGTCGGGGGCTCCTAGCTAATGACGCAGCGCTCCTTGTCCTTGGCCTGGCCGCCGCCGCTGGCCTTCTCGCGGATGTACATGAGGTCGCTGTGCACGCTGGGCCTCCGCGCGAAGGGCGCCACGATGCCGAAGGCGTCCCCCGGGTCGCCGCCGCCCCCGCTGCCGGCCCGCAGCAGCTTCTTGTTCCGCAGCGCCTTTTTGTGCAGCACGTCGCAGTACTGCACCGACACCTTGCGGTGCAGGTCGGGGCTCATCTCGCTCGGCAGCTTGGCCATGGCGAAGAGCGCGCGGAACATCTGGTCTAGGCTGCTGTTCTTCTTGGCTGAAATCTCGAAGTAGGCGCAGCGCTGGGGGTCGTCGCCCACCAGCTGCTCGATCTCGCGCTGCTCCACCTCGCGGTAGAAGTCCCGGTCCCCCTTGTTCCCGCAGATGACCAGGGGCACGTCCACGTTCTCCTTAGTTTTGTTCTTGAGGCAAGACTTGGTGTCCAAGATCTGCTGCTTGAGCCTCTGCACCTCCTCGAAGGAGTCGCGGTTGTCCAGGCTGAACACCAGGATGAAAACGTCTCCTGCAGAGCGGGGACAAGGACGGAGAGGTGAGGGCGGCTGCCAAGGGGCTCCCGCAGCCACGCGAGGCGCGCGGTGCGCTTAAGCGCCAAGCTCAGCGCGCAGAAGTGGGACCCGCCCGCCCGCGCCACCAGCCCGCCCTCGCAGGTTAGCCTGGACCGGTCTCCACGCCCTCCCGCCCGCCGTGCGCCCCGGCTCCCCGAAGCTCACCTGTGAGGATGGAGAGGCGCCGCATGGCTGGGAACGGGTGGTTGCCGGACGTGTCCAGGATGTCGAGCTGGTAGACCTCGCCACGGATGGAGTAGAACTTGCGGTGGAAGTCCTCGATCGTGGGTGTGTAGGCATCCTCAAAGCGCCCGGTGAGGAAGCGCGACACGATGGCCGTCTTGCCTACCTTGGACGAACCCAGGATGACCATGCGGTAGCAGTTCTTGGCCGGGATACTCAGCTCCGAGTCGGTCGGACACATCTTCTTGATCATCGCCGCCAGTTTCATTGGGTGGAGGGGCCGCAGGGCGGATGCGGGGCCGAGAGAAGTGCTGAGGGCTACCGAGGGCGCGAGGGTGGACACGCCGGAGCGGCAGGGGACTCTGCTCGGGCTCAACTCGCCTGCAGATCGTCTCCGGCTCAGGATAGGGCTCAGGACAGGGCTCCGACTCAGGCTAACTCTCGAACACAGGCAGCTCGCTCTGGCTCTCCTCGTCCCGCCGCCGCCTTTATATGCAGCCGGTGGGGGCCGCCCCGCCCCGCGCCACCCTGCGCCCTCCCAGCCTCAGTGCGTCACGCCCCGCGGGCGCCCTCCTCTGCTTCCCCGCACCCGCTCCTGCCCGCGACCTCAGCAGCTGCACTGCTGCTGCCCAGCGGGCGCGCGAAGGAAACCGATTCCGGGCTGGGGGCTAAGGGCGCGCGAACCCACCGCACAGGGCACAGCGGCTGCAAGGGGCGTCCTGGTCCTGGTCCTGGCTGTGCCTGACTTGGTGACTTCGGACTAGGACCCCCAACACCCCCGCACATACACTTAGTTTTTCTTTAGGCCTCAGTTTCCCCAGAAAATAACGACAATAATCCAGCAAGAGCAGCGTTTTCGGGCTTCGGGTGAGAGCCCCTAACGCCAGACCCTTCCCCTGGGGCGAGCGCTTGTTCCTTGCGGGTAGTGGCCCAGCGGTGGTGGCTTTTGCAGGCTTCCTGAGCTGAGGCCCGCGCTGCACTCTCCGGCCGCCAGAGGGCAGCAGAGGACCCCGCCCGCAGCACGGGGAGCCAGCAGGTGGGTCGCAGGCCTGTAGAGCCTAAGAGGGGCTGTAGGTGGGGACCGAAGGGAGCAAGGGGGCGCGAAAATTGGGGCACAGTGCTGAGGCCCAGCAAGAGCCGACCCTACTCCAGCGCTCTACTGAAGATCTCAGCCTGTTCCTTTCTCCCAACCAGAGACACTCTGTGGCCTGGAGGGGTCCTCAGCCAAGGGCAGTCCCCACCGTTTTCTGGTCCTTGACCCCAAAGATCCAGACTCACCTTTCCTTAGTCCGCCCTAGGTCAGCGTCGTAGCCCCTACCCCATGGCACTTTGGGCTTTTGCAGTCCTGCAGACTAACATTCCCTTTTGGTAGTGGAGGGACCCGGGACACAAAGCCACAGAAGCGGCCTTGGAGCACTGCCAGCCTCCTGTCCTCTCTGGGCCTCAGTTTCCTCTCGTGGAAGATGGTGGTTCTGACTGGGGGGCGGGGGGGGGGGGCATGCAAACACTCCAGGAGGGCAGGACCCGATCAAAACAATAACAGTGTGTGGTCAATGGCCCGTGAGTCCCGTGAGTGGAGACTGGCAGCTTCTGGCAGGTTGATCAGTAACCAGAAGTGGGCTGGCTTTCCTGCAAGGCCCAGAGCGGGCTGTCTAGGGCCAACTGCAGCCCAGAGATCCTGGAGGGACGGCCACTGTGGCTAAGATAGGTGAGGCCGTGCTCTCTCAGTCTCGCATCTGATTTGGGAGAGACCCAGGAAGTATTCACCATCTCAGCACCCAACAATGGGGCTCTGGGTGCCAGCCCCACGTGCCCAGCTCTTCACCGAGTACCAGTGGAGGGGCTTTCAAAGGCCATCGCAGCAGACCCACGCCCTCCTCTGCTGAACCGGGATTCCATTCCCATCTCACGGTCTCTGTGGAATGGTGCAGGACGTCCACCCCCAGGGCTTACGCAGGGCCTGGAGTGTTTCTTCGGGGTCCAGCCCTGTTCTAAATGATGCTGCCCTTCCTCCGAGCAGCCTTGAGTGGTAGGACTATTAATCTCTCCATTTTACAGGAGAAGTGAGATGCGGGATGAAGATACAGGAGAAGTGAGATGCTACTAACTATGGCGGGCTTACACCCACCAGCGCAGAGGCCTGTCGCTCTGCCCGTCCTTGTTCCTCCGCAATGGCTCCAGCTCCGGGGCTACTACCAATGTCCAGCTCAGTTCTCAGCCCAGCAGGGTACCCACCCTCAGAGAATCCTCTGGCTTCTCTCCCAGGTCTCACTTTTGAGGTCAGATGTTTCCATCAGACACCACAAGGTGGACACCCCCACACACACACAGACTCGTCAGCCAGATCTAGGGAACGTCCACAACCCCTGGCCTGGGTCTGATGCCTGGTGCCCTTTATGCAGGAGGTCGCCGACTGGCCAGCTGGGGCTGGTTCCCCACCACGATTCTTAGTTCTTGTCCCTGTTGGGGCGTCCTCTTCCTCCCCCCCTCCCCCTCTGGAGTCAGTGTGTCCTCTTGAGCTTGTGAGAAGGAGCCATGCCCGTGCCCAGCTGCAGGACGTTCACTGCAAAAAGGGGCTTGTCGAGGTGCGAGTGGGACCTGGTCCCCCCCCCCCCGTGTCCTGTGCTGGGCCCTGACTCAGGACGACTGGCCGGGGTCTGGAGTCAAGGTGGACCTGTGCCGTCGTTTCCCCGAGTCTCCAGTCCTAGGAGTGTCCACTTGATAAGAGCGGAGGGTCCGAGAGGGGCAGGACCCAGGATCTGACCCAGCTGCCACCACGGAGACCCAGGAAGCAGGGCCCCACCTGGATCTAGCGCCTCCCTCCCTTCCCTGTGACAAGGCTGAGCCTGATGGCAAGCCCTCCCAGTCCCTTCTAACTGGAAAGTGACCCTAGTGGGTCCCGAGCAATCGTGTGATTCTTGGTGGCTTTTGGACCCAACACCCCACCCCCCATGATGCTCGGTTCCGGGGGTTCCTTCCTCTAGATCAGCGGATTCCCCCAGCGGAGCCCTCTGAGTGCCCCAGAGCCCCTGTGGCCGGCCCTGCACAGGGACATCCCACTCCCCAGAAGCAGGTGGGCACAGACGGCTCCTTTTCTTTTTTTTTTTTTTTTTAAAAAGACGATCTCCATTGCATGCTTTTAGCCCCTTTATCAAATATAAGATAGTTGTA